AAGGATAAGCAGTTACTGGAAGTGAGTGAGTGTGAGTGAGAACCAGTACTGTGTTTTGTATTAAAACACTTAAAATTGAAATGCACTAAACAATGCACATCTTGACCCGGATATTTTATTTGCTTTTTAATTGATTGTAGCTTATTTCTTTGTCACACCATAGTTAAGATTTGTGTTTTTTTTTTAAACTCATCTGCTTCCTGTTTTCTGCTAATTCCTCAGTGTTTCTAGACCACATTCTCACTCAGTTCTTTGTGACGTTCAAAGCATGCATTTCATTTTTCATTTTGGCTTCCAAAATGAAATTTTTTGGTTTTGTCAAAAAAAAAAAAAAAGAACCCTAATAGAGTCATGCTAATAGCTCAGTGACAGAGATTATATTTTTCCTATGAACTTTTTTCAGAGGCCATCTAACTGACTTAGTGCTTCAGTATCTTTGACTTATAATTTACATACACACCAGGCTTTCCTCTTTTCCACACAACCTTAATGATCATGATTTGCAATATTTAAATTGTATTTTAAAATCTATCTAATTCCTATACAATATACGTTCTAATGTATAACTGTCAGCTCTGTTTGTATTGCAATGAAAACATCTAAAATTCTATTCTTAATTAATAATTATTTAATAACATTGGTTATTAAATGTTTCTGCACTATGTCTGCATTAAAAACAATTTAATTTAATTTATACCAAAGCCCTGTTAAATTTGATTGGTCAGAAAATAAATAAATATTTCTGTAACAGCAGCTCTGACTGTAGTGCTGTTGTCACAATTTCATGAAAATAGTAATATCGTTTATATAGTAACAGCTTACTCTGGGACTCGTAGGGTGGAAGTCTCGCATAATCTATGCCTCATAATAAAGAGATTAAAAACGTGTAATTGTTGATATGGTGAAGTTTTCTGTGAGGAGATGCTTATGTATCATTTTTGCAAGGAGTATCCAGTGTCACCGCTTTGTAACAATCAGAGGTCATCAAAATTTCTGTTTCATGGTAACACGACAAGCTGCATTTTTTAAAAATTATTTACTTCAAGAGAGAAAAAAGAGAGACAGGTGCTACTATATAAGCTTAAACAGGAACTTGTTTTGCAAATATTCCACAACATTAGATGTAACTAAAGAGATAAACAGTATAATGTGCTATTCTTTAATAAAAAAAAATAATAATTAGCATTGGCATGTTACTGTAGTATTAGAGGAATAAAACACAACAGGGTATGCTAATGGAAAATAATGTAAAGCTACAACCCCAAACTTACTTAACGTCCTGTCATATTATATTAAGTTATAGATTGAAAATATTATAAACTTCTTTATATCTATATCTAATGTCTTTCCACATACCACGTGGGCACAAATTCATACAATACAGTGGAAATCGTGAGAAAGACAAGCAGAGATTTCTTCTTTAGTAAAACAGAAGGACAATTTTATGACTTAGTTAAGCACCGACTGGAAAACACCTTCTTTTGCTTTTCGTGTGTCTGGAATGAGGAACTATTTGTGCAGGTAAATATTTGGGGAGTTGCTGGGATAGATTTTTTCACAGTTCAATAGTGTTAATACCTGAAGCAGTCATCAAAGACAAAACAGAAATGTAAACAGACTACTTTTGCTGGCAATAAAATCATCTGTACCACAGAGCTGTTGAATGTTCTGCTTCACATGCCTTGGAGGAAGCACGTTTAGCATGTGTACGTTTCGGACAGTACACTTAGACCCAATAATCAAACACACAATTAAATCAGGGCACAAAATTGTTTTATATATATATATATGTCCCTAGCTGTGAATGAGTGTGTGAATGTGTGTGCATGTTGCCCTGTGATAGACTGGTGTCCCGCCCAGGGTGTATTCCAGCCTCACATCCAGTGCTCCCGGATCCGGATCCACCACAACCACAAGGATAAGCAGTTACTGGAAGTGAGTGAGTGTGAGTGAGAACCAGTACTGTGTTTTGCATTAAAACACTTAAAATTGAAATGCACTAAACAATGCACATCTTGACCCGGATATTTTATTTGCTTTTTAATTGATTGTAGCTTATTTCTTTGTCACACCAGTTAAGATTTGGTTTTTTTTTTTGTTTTTTTTAAACTCATCTGCTTCCTGTTTTCTGCTAATTCCTCAGTGTTTCTAGACCACATTCTCACTCAGTTCTTTGTGACGTTCAAAGCATGCATTTCATTTTTCATTTTGGCTTCCAAAATGACATTTTTTGGTTTTGTCAAAAAAAATAAAATAATGCTAATAGAGTAATGCTCTGTGACAGAGTTTATATTTTTCCTATGAACTTTTTTCAGAGGCCATCTAACTGACATTATACTTTCTAATGTATAATTGTCAGCTCTGTTTGTATTGCAATGAAAACATCTAAAATTCTATTCTTAATTAATAATTATTTAATAACGTTGGTTATTAAATATTTCTGCATTACGTCTGCATTAAAAACAATTTTAATTTTATTCTCGATTTTGATTGGTCAGAAAATAAATTTTTCTATACCAGTAGCTCTGACTGTAGTGCTGTTGTCACAATTTCATGAAAATGAAATGAAACTATTATAAAGTTCTTTATATCTAATACATATGCATACAATACAGTGGAAATCGTGAGAAAGACAAGCAGAGATTTCTTCTTTAGTAAAACAGAAGGACAATTTTATGACTTAGTTAAGCACCGACTGGAAAACACCTTCTTTTGCTTTTCGTGTGTCTGGAATGAGGAACTATTTGTGCAGGTAAATATTTGGGGAGTTGCTGGGATAGATTGATTCACAGTTCAATAGTGTTAATACCTAAAGCAGTCATCAAAGACAAAACAGAAATGTAAACAGACTACTTTTGCTGGCAGTAAAATCATCTGTACCACAGAGCTGTTGAATGTTCTGATTGGTCAGAAGGTGATACATTTTTTATAACAGCTACAATGGTGCTGGTTGTAAGGTTTATATTATTGTCTTTGTTCTAATACATTATTGCTTATATAGTAACAGTTTACATAGGGACTTGTATGGTGGATGCTCCAAGAGAACTTAACTGGGTGGGAGGGATGGCATTACGGTCTTCCCTGTTAATTACACTAGACAGCATGGACATCTGTAAGGTCATGTATGCAGAAGAGGGTGGGTAGCTTTTCTTCCTAGTGTGCTAAGCTGTCCTGTCACGCAACGTGAGCGGCAGTTGGAAAATACGTAGAGGTTTGGCTTCACGTTTTAGCACGTGTATGTTTCGGACAGTACACTTAGACCCAATAATCAAAAACACAATTAAAACAGGGCACTAAATTGTTATATACATACTGTATATATATATATATATATATATATATATATATATATATATATACATTTAGGTCCAGAAGTATTTAGACAGTGACAGTGTTTGTGTGATTTTGCCTTTATACACCACCACAATGGATTTGAAATAAAACAATCAAGATGTGATTGAAGTGTAGACTTTCAGCTTTATTTTAAAAATATGGCATTTACCATTTAGGAATTACAGCCATTTTCAACAAATTACTTCCATTTTCAGGGGCTCAAAGGTATTTGGACAATTGACTGATAAGTCAATTGACCAGGTACGGTCCATTCCCTCGTTACTTCAACACAAATGAAGCAGATAAAAGGTCTGGAGTTGATATCACGTATTGAGTTGGCATTTAGCAGCTGTTCGACTGGAGCTACCAATATGAAGTCCAAGGAGATCTCAATGCAAGTGAAGGAGGCCATCATTAGGCTTAAATCTATAAAAGAGATAGCAAAAACCTTCGGTGTAGCCAAGTCAACAGTTGGGTACATTCTTAAAAGGAAAGAAAGCACTGGTGAGCTCAACAACATCGAAAGGCCTGGAAGACCATGGAAGACAACTAAAGTGGATGATCGCAGAATCCTGTCCTTGGTGAAGAAAAACCCCTTCACAACATCAACAGAAGTCAAGAATACTCTGGAGAAGGTAGGCGACACCTTCATGAGTGTAAATACAGAGGGTTTACAACAAGGTGCAAACCGCTGGGAACATTCAAGAACAGGAAAGCCAGATCAGACTTTGCCAGAAAACATCTAAAAAAGGCTCCCATGTTCTGGAATATGATTCTTTGGACTGATGAAACCAAGATTAACTTGTACCAGAATGATGGGAAGAGAAAAGTATGGCGAAAGAAAGGAACGGCTCATGATCCAAAGTATACCACATCATGTGTCAAACATGGTGGAGGCAGTGTTATGGCATGGGCATGTATGGCTGCCAATGGAACGGGCTCATTGGTGTTTATTGATGATGTGACTGCTGACAGAAGTAGCAAGATGAATTCTGAGGTGTACAGGGCTCTACTCTCTGCTCACATTCAGCCAAATGCTACAAAACTGATAGAACGCCGCTTCACAGTGCAGGTGGATAACGACCCTAAACATACTGTGAAAGCAACTCAAGACTTTTTGAAGGCAAAGAAATGGAATATTCTTCAATGGCCAAGTCAGTCGCCTGATCTCAACCCAGTTGAGCATGCTTTTCACTTCCTGAAGACAAGACTGAAGGCAGAAAGACCCACACACAAGCAGCAACTGAAGATGGCTGTAGTGAAGGCCTGGCAAAGCATCTCCAGGGAGGAAACTCAGAATTTGAGTTTTGAGAACATGGGCTCAGGACTTCAGGCAGTCACTGACTGCAAAGGATTTTCATCCAAGTATTAAAATTATGGTTATATTTACAATTATGTCACTTTGTCCAAATACCTCTGAGCCCCTGAAAATGGAGGTACTTTGTTGAAAATGGGTGTAATTCCCTCAGGACTTGATTTCTTTATTTCAAATCCATTGTGGTGGTATATAAAGGCAAAAAGACAAAAACTCTGTCATTGTCCAAATACTTCCAGACCTAACTGTTGTACTCCTTTTTCAGAGATTTATGAAATGGAACCCATTCCTTGAGATCTAAAAATGGATGTTTTTGAAAAAAAAACAATGGGAGAAATGGTTCTTGTTTAGGGGCATGGTGGCTTAATGGTTAGCACATTTGCCTTGTGGGTCGGGGGTTCAAATCCCGCCTCTGCCCTGCATGCGCAGAGTTTGCATGTTCTCCCCACACTTCAGGGGTTTCCTCCCCCAAAGGCATCCATTATAGGCTGATTGGCATTTCCAAATATTGTCTGTAGTATGTGATTGTACCCACTTTGTGCCCTGAGGTGACCCTGTGTGGGATAAGCAGAATGTGATAGATGGATTTCTTTCTTGTATGATGGATGGATAGCTTTCTTGTATGAACATGTATGTCCATTTCCAGTCTTTATTGTTCAGTTGTATTTAATCAAGAATGTAATTCTGTATAAACTTACAAACCTTAATTCCTAGAATGTATGTGAATGTATGTGTGATTTTCAATGCTGCCGTTTATTTTAAGTTTTCCTTTTTCTTAATTTTCAGTTTAAAATTTTTGTTTTGTTTATGGTTACGCTCTAAAAAAGAAAGAAAGCCAATAAAACTATACGTATCAGAAGAATGCATGCAACCACACCAGTCCTTTGCAGATAAGATTAAAGAGCCATAAACTGCTAAATGTGTAAATGCTTATAAAGTGTGCAGGTGCATAATATACAATGAATATAAAAAGTCTACACACCCCTGTTAAAATGGCTGTTTTTTTATATATATAAAAAAAATGAAACCAAGATCAATTATGTCAGAATCATTTCTACCTTTATTGTGAAATCGCAATCTAAAAATTAAAGTGAAAAATCGTAAGAATCGTTTTGGGGAAAAAAAAGAAAAAAACAGTACAATAACCTGGATGCACAAGTGTGCACACCCATAATATAAGACATTTTTCTTTTCTTGTATACTTGGAAAATGTTTGTGGGCAATTAGCCTAAATTTATACTGATTCATTTGGCCACCGCTTTTATCCAAAGCAAGTGAAGGCCATCATCAAAGCTTTTTATCCAAGTGTTAAAGTTTAACAGCCTATAAGACGTTCTCTGGCAGTCTGGCAGAACTTCTTGTTCTTAGCTTATTTATTTAATTAAGAGCACTGGAAGCTTAGAAACAGGAACAGAAAAAGTCTCAGAGGAATATTAAAAGATCTCTCTCAATAATCTAAAACCAAGGCAATGCATAAGCAACACTATGCTTGAGCAAGTTCCCTCAGAAAGTTGCTAGAGTGCTTCTTCCTTCTATCAATATTCTCAGCGCTCAGGTCAATTTTTTTTTTCTCAAGTGTTGGCCAAATATATCAATTGTACATTGGCCTGGTACTAAGCTTGTCCAAACTTCATCCTTCCCTTAGTAAATAAAGGAAATTGAGTCATAAAAAACAAAGTGTAAATTTCCATTTGTATCTTTATAATTATCTTTTTATTTTAAAAAAATTATTCATTTATCATTATGGATACAATTAATACATGTAATGCACAAAGGCCTATTCTTGTCAACCAACATTCTTCTATGAACAGGGAAAGGAGATTTTCGCTACTGATTTTCTCCTGCGTATTATGTTGCACGTGTACCGAAAGTTCAACAATTAAGGCCTAACTAAACATAAGTTAGAACCTTAAAGACTGACACGAAGTCAAAACCCTAAGCCCTGGGAGCAAGAGTCAGAGGCCTAACAGTCTGGGATTAACCAAAGGATTAAAATCTCGAAAACTGTGACTAACCAAGATTCACTGCCTTAAAGGCTAGGACTAGCAAAAAGTAAAAAGACTTTGCTTGTCATCTAAACAGTTTCTTTGCTTATCTGAGACCAGGTAGATGTCAGTATTATGTGTGGTGTTTGTACCAAAGTATCAAAGTTGTATAAAAACTGATTTGCAATCGTGCCATATGCTGAGTCTTTCTAGTTTCCTAGCCAAAGCCAAGGTCCTTAACACTTGTTGACAGCAGAGGAGGTCTTGTCAATCTATTGCAATTTCAACCATCACAGCTAGTTAATACACAGTGAAACGAAACAATGTTCCTCCAGGACCAAGGTGCTACATCAAATAGCAGAGAACTACAAGAGACTACACATTTCTACATAAAGTGCATGTGCCAACGTGTGCAAACAGCAAGACAGTACAATAACTACTAAAACAGTAAAATAACTAAGACAGTACAATATCTACTAAAACAGGACAATGGGCACAGTAAGAGACAGTGCAGCACAGTACACAGTTCTAGTATGAAAGTGTCAGATATGGCAGTAGTGCAAAAGAATAACAATATATTAAATTTCTGTGAATGTAAACATAACATATTTTGACATACTATTCAGCAGATAAACTTATACTATATATAGACATAGCAGTTATTGGGGTAGCAGCCAGGTAGAGAATATAGTAATGACAAGAAATTATATAAATTCAAATTCAAATTCAGTTTTATTTGTATAGCGCTTTTAACAATGGACATTGTCACAAAGCAGCTTTACAGAAATAAATGGATTAACAAAAAACATATTATAAATATTTTAATTTATCACTGTGAATTTATCCCTAATGAGCAAGCCAGTGGCGACGGTGGCGACGGCATATCTTCTGGTTCTAGTACTTACTCTTAGTCAAAGTAATGTTCAATTTACCCCGCACAATACCTGATGTCTGTAAAGGTTTGTCACCTAAATAACTTATGAGTATTTCTGAAACAATGTCTTAATCACACATTGATATGAAAACCGCTGACTGCTACTTTTTTCCTCTCCTACTCTCCATCATCCATCAACCTGTCCTGCCTCCGTCTCCGGACGTCATGCCGCCCCGGACCCCCCACTGGACATAACATCTTAGGTGAGTTCACCTATCACTCCATGACTAAATAAATGAAACACAATATACATATTAGATAAACATAATCTGTTACATTGTGATATTATGTAAAGGAAAAGAAAATATATACAATAAACAAAATAAACAACCAAACAAGATTTCTCAGCCTGCATCATTAACAACATTTACTTTTTATCCCAGTTACAAGTGCATCTGGAAGGGAGGCATCACTGTCACAGGCAGGTGATGTTGTCCTGTAGTTGGTGATGGCCTGGATGCCCTGCCACAGGTGCTGCATGTCACCGTCACCGTCCTTAAAGTGGCTGTGGATCCTCTGGGTGTGTGCGCGATTTGCCTCTCTGATGGTCTGGGACAGTTTGGCCCTTGCTGTTCTTAAACCCGCCTGTCGGGGGTTTCGGGTCTTCAGCAGTGCACACACCTCTGCAGTCATCCACGGCTTCTGGTTGGAGTGTGCGGTGATGAGCTTGGAGACAGTGACGTCATCAATGCACTTGCTGATGTAGCTGGTCACTGATGCCGTGTATTCCTCCAAGTTGGTGGAGTCGCCATTGGTTTCAGCTTCCCTGAACATGTGCCAGTCAGTGTGCTCGTTTACGTTTACGTTTACGGCATTTGGCAGACGCCCTTATCCAGAGTGACTTACAATTATCTCATTTATACAACTGAGCAGTTGAGGGTTAAGGGCCTTGCTCTCTCAACCTTCTGATCAGGAGTCCAATGTCTTAACCACTGAGCTACCACTTCCCTCAAAACAGTCCTGAAGAGCAGAGATGGTTCCTGCTGGCCAGGTCTTCGCCTGCTTTAGAACCGGTTTGGAGCGTCTGATGCTGGGATGGGATGTATGCTGGGATTAGACAAACATGCTGATGGAATGTACGGAGCACTGACTTGAGATTTGCATGGTTGCAATGTCTGGCAACAATAAACAGTCTGTCAGGGTGTGAATTCTGCAGCTTGCTAATAGCCCCATCTCCTTAGCATTAGCACTGGGGGAGTCAGGGGAATACACTCCGACTATGAAGACAGTGGTGAATTCCCATGGTAAATAAAATGGTCTACATCTAACAGTCACAAACTCCACTAGAGATGAGCAGTAACTAGAAACTAGAATGTACATTTCCTGAAGAAAATGTGAGTGGTGCTTCCCGGGCCGCCATTCGCCACTGGAGCCGTCCGTCATGTCACGTGTTCAAGTCATGTCATGTCTCCTCAGCAAAATGAGCCCGCCCCCATGTCTCTATGACTTTGTGATGCAGAGTTTCTTTCACTGCAAAGTCCCCATGTAATCTCTATGGGCCGAATCCCCATGTTATTTCTATGGGCCAAATCCCCATGTTATCTCTATGGGGCAACTTTAGGGCGCT